CCACACCCACACCCTTTTTCGTTTTTTTCTTTTTTTAAACTCTCAAAGTTTAAATAAGAAAAAGAAATGAATTTCATGTAGGTGATCAATGGTTGATCCTTCACTTATTTATTATTATAGTGTTGCTTCAAGCAAATAAATATAAAATGGCTAGAATCAGTTGGAACAGAAAACAAAAGTTCGAAAACAATATTTATTTTAGACTTTTTCTATCTAAACCATGATTCATAGACAATAGGGTGTGTGAATTTGTAGATGAACTGGAAACTCACACCTTATTGCATATACTTGTTTAAATTAAATTTTACGGGAAAAAATTTTTCTATTTTGTTTCGTCCCATGTATGCAAATTTTACTGTGTCAATGACAAAACAACAGTTGAAGCAAAGTTACACAAGTTAGAATACAAAATTTATATTACGAGAGTAGATTGTGAGAAAAAAGGTGTTAAAGAATAGGACCGCCTTCTATGTCATCAGCTCGTTCATAAGCCGCCAATCATCTCTCCTGTTCTCAGTAATGAAAAAAGAACAGGATTGGGCATCATGCTATTCATTGGCACAACGATTTCTACCATAAACAGATATTTGTAATTTTGGGAAATTGAATAAATAAGTGTAAATATCTTTGAAGTATTTTATCTTGTAAGATTAGCTGAAATCATACTAGAATGATGATCTAAGAAATTTTACATTAAGCTACACTGTAGGATTCTTGTAAGATCTTATCATCTGCTTGTTGAACCTGGGTATGTGTACGAGTCTTTTAGTATCTTTACAATGTAATACGAACGTAATGCGACCATTTTTTTAAAGCATCTTCTATAGTTAGGATCGAATTTTAACGTGTAATAGCAGTTTCTTTCGTTATTTATGATCTATTTTTTTAAGTGATTTATTGTGATGTTTGGATCGTTGAGTTTTAACTTACAAAAGTTGTTTATAGTTTCCATAAATAAATCCTCAAAATTTAAAATCTAAAATAACTTTATAGGACAATGCCACGCCTGTCAGGGACCAAGCTGAACTCGAACTCGTAGAAGATGGTTCGATTCCGTTTCTGATAGTTACCGTTAAATACTGTGCAATGATAATCTGACTATCGTCTTACAAGAAAACACTGATGTTCATATTTGCTAACATATGAAGGTGAGATAGAGGATGCATATGCAGACAATCTTGTTGATGACAGTCAGGAGTTTGAGAATGTTTGTATTTAGAAAATGAACAATTTTTTGTAAATAAAAAAATCATAATAATAATATTGACTAAAAATAATGATCAATTGCATTTTACATTAAAATATTCAATTTTTTTTGTATTAATAACAAAATAATAAAAAGTACGAATAATAAATCAAGAAAAAAGAATTGTTATTTGAATAAAAAGAAACGATTGTAGTTCGAGAATTTTTGAATTTATCATTATTAACGGGTTTTCAGAAAACAGTTCAATAGGATGATGTATGGTAGATGCTTTTACATATAATGTACTAAACCAAAGTGATTCAAAGAGAACATGGATGTGGTTAAACACCATATCAACATCTATACCCACACTCTTCTTGATATTATTAGGGTGGGTGTGACATCATCAACCAGATTTAGACTATTCTAAAACATTTACAAGCCTTCCTTGAAACTTCAATGGCTGAAATACGTTTGTGAATACTTTAACCGACTTATTTACTAGTTAAATCAATGGTTGAAATCATAATAAAACATACAATATGAAATACAAATCAACAAGCAAAACCAAAATTAGAGCACAAATGCACAAAATAAATGAAACTGACGGTTTTCGTGGAAATTGATTATCTTTTGCAAACAAAAATAACGTTCACTAGAGATATTTTACTTGACCTATTTTGTATTAGTATATACAGCTAAAATTTAATGACAATCTATTCTGATTGATTTAGAAAATTTAGATATGATTGTTATAACAGAGACCGATTCTAGTAAAAAAAAGTAGATAAATGAATTCTTGTTGATATGTTTTCATTTTATGAATTGATATTTTTAGTCTTTATTGAGGATGTGGGTAAGAGAGTATATGATCGATCAACACATCCAAACAACATATACACCTACACCCAAGACGATGATAAGATCGTATTTTGAATGTATGCAAGTAAATCAGAATATAATTTTTTTGGATTCGATTCATTTATGAATGCTTGTTTAAATTGACGTCGTTGCTCAATATTCGTTAACTAAAATAAGTAAAATAGATTTTTTTTTCATACAATTAATATTTGGAGCTTTTCTTGTCTCTTGTATAATACCTGCAGATAATATTCTCGATCAGCAATAAGAAATAAACGATTGTTTAATTCTTCAAAATGAGCACTGAAACGTGATGACATCAATGAAAACCCAAAAAAGTAAACAATATACCATATTATCTATGAGAATTCATTTTGACATTTCATGACGAAATCTATTGATTTTGTATTGATCGTTATTCCTTCAGATTGCAACAAAGAGTTTTTTTTTCATTAATGCTTTACTATTTATTTTTTCCAAATAAATTTTAATCGTACGTGTAAGTCTCGATCATTTTTAAAAAGAAAACTAGGAAGAATATTTAACGATAGGTGGAAAAAAATAGCTCATCCAACAGTCCAAATACGACTTCACTATTAAATCATCAGTATGAAATTTTAACGCGATTTTTTTTCTTTAAAGATTAATATAAAGAACAAAAGAAAAAGAAAATCAGCAAGGATAAATGATTTAAGTAAATAATTACAATGCATCAGCAATTATAAGTGATGGACATGCACTTAACATAAGACAAGTTAACCCCATATATAGCTATACCTATTGATTTTCTGTGTGCAATGCTTGTCATTGATAATAAAGTCCATTGATTAACTTTAGCCGAATAATGTGCATTAATAAAAGCATGAAAAAAAGCAAAAACTGTATAGGCAAGTATTTGAGGATATAACTATTGTGTTGCTGCAGCAAATTCTAAAATCATTTTATTCATTAAATGATCCGATAAACCAATATGGTCACGTAATAATGATAATGCACGTAATAAAAGTAAAGCTTCATATGGTAATGTTGATGATTATATTATTGATGAACTATCAATCATTCTTTGTTCTTTATTAACATGTTCATTATTTAATGAATTTGTATTTTCATTTGGTAGTTGTAATAATGTATAAATACGTGTAAGTATTAAAACAAGATAATCAATATTGAACGATGATAATTGACGTATTATTGTTATTGAACGTTCATATTTACGCCATATATCATTTTTAGGATATTGACCAACTATTAAAAGCCTTTCAAGATTAATTGATATAATTTTTTTGTGTTAAATTATCATCTTTAATTAATGATAATAAAATATCATATGAATTTAAATTATTATTTTATATATTATTATTTAATTCTTGTATTATATAATTTATTTAAATCAACTTGATGTCTTCCAAGTAAAAATAAACATGATGCATATGTATGAATTTAAGTTAATTTAAAATTGTGTTCAATTAAATGTCTATATAATTCATAATATTCTTTTGTTATTTGTCCAAGTAATATACCAGATTTACATAAATTATAACTTATTAAGGATATCATTAAATCATCTTCATTAAACCATGTACGAAAATATTCATCACATAAATCATATAAATTTGATAAATGTTATGATAATGGAAATAAATCAGATAGATATATAAATGAACCTATTAATTCATATTACATATATTTCAATTAGAATTTGTAAACATGATGTTAAATCAAAACCATGATGAAAAAATAAGCGATCAAATAAACTCTAAATTATATATATATATATTAAAGGTGGATACCAGCTAAGAAAATGTTCATACTCTAATTTTCTGATTGATAGAATATATTTCTCATATTTTAGACTTTATTAATAGAATATATTTGAAATTATTGATATAAGCTTTTATCTATATGAAATAACATAGTTTGCATGGGTGAGCGGACAACGTAGGTGAAGTTAGCACCATATTCGAGTAAATCCTTCCCATATTCGCTCAGGAAAGCGTTCCAAGTGTGCCAATCAGCGTTCCAAGTAGAACTCAACGAGCTCCATCTAATGGTAACTTTGGATTTTCCACAGCCCAAACCAATCGTGAGAAAAATCCAAAATACTGCACTTTTTCAATAGGCAAAACCAAACCTACTTACTAAAACCCGCCCATATTCGTCCAGGAGCGCGTTCCAACCGTTCCAGCAGGGTTCCAAGTACAACTCGACGAGCTCTATCTAATGGTGTCCTCGGATCAATCGTAATCCAAACCAATGGTGAGAAAATCTCAAAATACCAGATTTTCACTGTACATATGGTTACTAAAACCCGCCCATATTCGCCCAGAAGCGCGTTCCAACCGTTCCAGCAGCGTTCCAAGTACAACTCGACGAGCTCTATCTAATGGTATCCTTGGATCAATCGTAATCCAAAC